TCACAGTTCGAGTTGCAAATGCATTTTCCGTGTTTGCCTCAGCCAAGCCTCAAGCCGTGCGGACAGCGGACGGCTGGCGGCGGGTGGCGGTCAGTGGGCGTTGGACTTTGGCAGTGCCAGCCACTAACTAATACAAACTTCAATGGCTTACGTCCCATTCTTTCGTCTTTCGTCTATCTTTCTCTTAGTCTCACTGTCCCCCAGTTCGTATCTCTGCTAGGGTTTGCAAACTTTTTGGCTTTCAAAATGTCAACTCATTTGAGCCCCTTTTTTCTACCCTTCTTCTGTTATAATAACTTTCGGGAAAGTTTGCAATACAATGAGCAGCATTTTTCTTTATCTACTTGAGTATGCAACATTCTATACTTCACGATTCATTGCATTAACTATCTCAATCATTTACCATAATACACTTTCTCTCACTGCGCGACAAATTTTAAGGCGATTTCTGTTCACATTAAGCTCTTTCGTTAAACTCAATATGAGAATATATAAAGGTGAGGCTTACATATAAGTTGTACAATGATACTTCAGGTCTCTATACACATCGGCACATTAGATACCAGCAACATGGATAATCATTAAGGCAAACCAAGTTTGAACCACTTCCGGCCACACATGCACTCAGGACAACAGTTTGACGACACGAGAGTGAGTCGCGAGTGCAAATGGCAAGCCGTCTTTAGCAGTTGATTAAATATTGAACAAGCAACAGTGGGTAATGAGGGGTGCTCTAACATTTGTGATGGATAACAAATAACTTATTAGTCTGTCATGCATAAATAATCCCACATTTTGAGATCCGATTGTGGTCATGCTTGCTGACCAAGTCAACCGGCAGTGTTATGACCTGCACTCAAAGCTGACACTAGTTTCAAATACAAAAAAAGAAGAATTCAAAATCAATGTCCTCCCAGGAAGTTCCTTGGCAATTTGCAATCCTTTGTGTCATTACACAATGCTTCCGCAGGGCCCGGTGACTGTCGCCTGCAGCGTCACGCTGCTGCAATCAAAGCGTTTTGAATCACCAGCAGCATCAGCAACAGGAGCAACCGGCGCATTAATCCTTCATTGGCAATCAGGCATCTTGCCTTTGCCGTGTGATGAACTCTGTCCCAGAAACGGAAGTTGTAAAAACGCCAACGCCGCACAAAGCAAACATAGACGAAGAATTTTCGGCGGCTGCTGCTGGTTGCCTTTGTTTTGCAGCACTCCTGGTGCTTGGCTAACCAGCGGCATGGAACCGATTATAGTATTCCGTATTCGGATTGGAATTTGCCTGGGGACATTCGTCAAACGCAGTAGCAGAAGCAATTGTTTCGCCAAGTTTCCTTTTTCGCTTTGTTCATTATGCGCAGTCTTCATTCCATGCCATCCATGCCATTGTGCTGAGGCAAAGCATAAACACTGATTGATTGATTAAAGACCCAGCTTCAAAGTCTTGGAAGTTGTTGTACGAATAGCTGGCGATATCGTGTGAGTGGCAGACAGTGGGCAATAAACCTAATGAGGGGCCCTTGAGCGAGTGTCGCATCAATCAAATGCGTATTTAGCGCTTTATATAAATAAGTATTTTCCTTCTATATATGTATCTCAATATGTATATACAAATACATAGATATGTGTAGATGATAACAACGATTTCTCTTAACTTGCGATGATTGTTTTCGTGTAGATGTGTGCGCTCATCCGACAGCTGGCGATTAACAAATGAATCATATATGTGAGTGAATGATGACCCGCCTACCACCCAAGCCACGCTTGTCTGAACACTTTAAGTGGAGCTGAGCCTGGGGATCAAGTTGCTGTTATTAAAGTTCACCTGAAGCGGCTAAGCAAGCCAATTTCTGTTGATACCGGCGATATCTATCTGCAAATTGGCTACGTGGCCGGCTCAAATAACGTAGATTGGCATTAAATAAACTGGAACTGAAATCAATAGTGTTCGCAACCGAGGGCAAAGGGAAACTACTGCAGCATCTCTGCTGGGTCAGCATTGTTGCACGTCATGGCTTCCGTCATGGACACCGGTCAATGTGGACTTTACTCCGCCAGTGCCATCTGTGAATTGACACTAGTTGTCTCTTTCTCTTTCTGTTTCTCGCTCCCCCTCTCTTTTTATCAGCCTCTCTCCTTATCTGTACCTTTGTCATTCTACGCCACAAAAGAAAATAATTTCATCAAGTGACTTTGCAGCTGTCCATGTAGATACAGACACAATATTATATATATGCTGATGGCAGTGCTGACACATCCTGTTGTATCTCATTCTCATCTCACTTATCTCAAACTCTCTTTCTATCAATCTCGTCTCCTCATTTGACCTTGTTGCAAAGTGCTCATTATCTGCTGAAATGTTGTCAATCACGGGATTTCGTTTGTCTTATTTTGATTTGACTTTCAATTGAATTTCGAATTTGAATATCCAAAAGTAGGCGACGCCCTCTTGCTGCCCGCCCCTCGGGCACATCCGTAGCATCGGCAATTCTACCGTTAAGCTTCACGCTGCTTCCACTAAGCGTTTATGATGAGTTCGCGCTTATTGGAGAGAAATGCAAACTTTCTACATAAAAAATTAATTTGATTATTTTTTCAGGGTATTTCGCTAGCGTGCTTAGATTTCCGTTAATGACGCCATAATCAACTGTTTTATTGCACTTTAAAAAAGTTAAGCTCACACACACAACAAGCGCGTAGCTTTTATTGGGCTAAGCTGTAACTTTTTAATTATACCTCCAACATTTTCCCATCAGAATTCGTTTCGGCTGAGTGAGTGTGTGCAGAAAATGATATTTAAATGGAATAAAATCAAGATTTATTGCAATATTAAGTGTTGAAACGTTTTTTTATGTCCCGTATCCATAAAATTAAGGAAAAGAATAATAAAGTTTGACGCATATTAGAATTGATCACATAGCACAGACAACAAATATATAACATCAATTATATAGGTATTTGTTGAGTAGCATCTAAATATTCGTTGGACTGCTGACATACATTGTACGCTGAGTCTATTGGAAGAACTTGTACTCATAGATATAATTTGCAAATAATAGCCAATAAAGAAAATTTATATAATATTAAAATTTGATTGAATAAGTCTCTTTTAAATACATTTAGAAATAACTTGCCGTTGATGGCAAAGAATTTCTATTGACTTAAATTTCAGAAATATGTAAAACAAATATTTTCAATTAATTTTAAATGATATGAGCAAATTCCTTAGCCCAAAATGAACACAGCCATTAAATGGTTCACAGAGTTATAGCTTATATAAAGGGCTCGAGGGCGCTTTACTCGGCTGGCCATCAAATTGCAATGGCGAAGTTTATGTTGTGATCGAACATTTTAATTAAAATCATGATGAAATAATTGAGAATTTGTTGCTATACAATTTATGCGTAATGGAAATTTTGGAAATTCCCATGGCCTGCGCAATAACAATGGCAGCAGCAGGAACAGCAGAATCAGCCAACAATAGCAATCAGGCTTCCATACAAAATGTTAGTTGAGTAGGATGAGGTCACGGTCATGGCAACCACACGGAATTTTCATCTGTAGTGGTCCATCAAAAACGGAGACTGACTCCCAAGGTCCGACTATGCATAGAGCGGCGTGCCAGGAACTCATTGCCATAAAACAAAGACATTAAAGTTGAAATGATGACCCGGACTTAATCGACTTGCCAACAATAATATTTAAATTTAATTTAAATGCTCACATGAGAGCCGACAAACACACGAGCACGACGGCAAACAAATCGAAGGACACGCAACTCAATCTGCTGGACAATTTGCAAAACGATATGGTTGAGACCGAAATTTTCTGAAAGGATTCTTGGATGCCCGGTCTAAAGACGAGGCGAAGGGTCTGCGAGATGCACAGCTCACAGTTGAGCTAGTTGGGTAAACGGCATCATTGTTGTATCCTGTTTGTGTATTTTTGCGGCAAAGCGAAAATAACTTGAAGTCATTCGCTTAAAAGCACAAAGTGATTGCAGAGTTAGTTGGTGAACGACTCGACCCGATTCCAGTCTAATGACACTTTACGCAAAACTCTATGTGTATCAGAGAATTTGGTTTTTTTTCAAATGGTTTTTAAGCTGCTGCAGAGCTTAATGTTTATGTGTAGCTTACTTAAATTGCTATAGAGCTAAATAACTAAAAGCCCTGGAGCCATGCTTAAGTGCTTTACTCGCCCTGAGTTAATGCCTTAACGTTATTATCAATTTTTGTTCCTTGGCGATTTGCCATAATTGTAACTTTTGACCATTAGCTATTGTTTTTGTGGCTACGCTAGCATAACACAGTAGCTGAAATTCTTGTTGCTCTCTTTGCTGCTATTGCGGTCTAATTGATACAAGAAAACACCAGCAACAAGAGCTTCAAAGCCACAAACAGAAAGAAAACCAAGTCATCAACAAAGCTCCAACTGCACCCAGCAGCTGACAATTGTTTTCAATGCTGTGGTCAGCTTTCTGAGCATATGTCTGCATGTCCATCAGTCTGTCGATTCGCCTGCCAATCGCATGCACACTCAGAGTGAAAGCATATAAGTAAGTACACAGCATACAGCACACATACTCACTTTCAATCTATTTCAAATGTCAGCGACTGTTCGCTGCTCGTCGTCAATCACATGGTATATCGAGCTGCCCGATTGGTGCACGCTGCATATGCAGCACATGCATATTGTCTATGTGAGTTTGGGTTGCACGGTTAAAGGTTTTTGGCTTGCTTTTAAGTTTTAGGCACGTCGACGCTGCTGAAACTTGTGCACGCGTGTCATTTAAATTCCCCACAAAGTTGTCAAGTCGATAAAGGATCGGCGTTATACTGCAGGACTACTGCACCAGAGGCAGCTACAATTTATACGCTGTTGCAACTTTAACAAGCAACACGGCCAGTTATCAATGAGTGCGAGGGTAGCAATTCAAATATGATTATATCCTACTTGCAAATTTACTCAAACATGCTCTTTTACTCCCCAACTCTTTTCAGAACAACTTTAAAAATGAACGGCCACGTAAGAGTAGGAGGAAGATCTAGAATGCTCAGACCGAAGCGGGGTTTGCCCGCTTTGCATGCCATTTTCAATATGCTGTTTCTGAGCTGCATTATAATCTCCGATTTATTACTGAGCGGTAAGTATGCTTACATAAGTAAGTGCGGCTTATATAGCATATGAGCGTAAACGGGTTAAGCGGCATTTGTATATATTTATCTGTCTGCCAGCGTTTTCCATTCAACATTATTATGCCAACTGCGTGCACAAATGTGGTTAAGGTTGATAATTTAATTTAACGAACGACTGTTAATATTATGGATTTCTCTCACACACTCACATACGCATACTCACTGCTTCCACATGCAACTATACGCAATCTCGTTAAGCAGTCAATTTATTAAATATTATGCAATATCCTTTCAGTTAAACTGCACTTCAACCCACGTGAATGAACATAAATATTGTTCAATTAAAGTTGCCATAATTAGGACACTATATGACACAAGCAACCAACCAATAATCCAATTAGCTTCACATGTGATGATAATAGATTTAGCTTCTTTCCAGATGTTATATAATTTTCAATAAGTTGGATGCAGTCAAAGAAAGATGCTCATTATTATCATCATTGATTTATAATTACTTGAGGAAAAACTGTTGCTTTAATGTACTATTCATGTAACATTTGATCCGTTTACTGGTTGCCAATTAAATTCCAGCTTCGAAATGCAAACATTGTTGTTTTCAAAATATTTTATTCTTGAAATAACGATATGTTTGAGCTAAGTATATTAATGCTAACCCGTTGATTATATTAGGCAACATTACTCATACGCCACGTGATTCACGTCTGTGCACTGTTAAGTATTTAACGGTGTCTGTGCCACATTTTTCAATTAAAGCAAAACGCGAAAATAAATGAAAATAAAAAGAAAATAAATTATATTAAAATCGAGCCAAACGGCCGTTCTCGATGTATTGTCATAAATTAACATATAAGCGAGTCCGGCTGCAGACACCCACAATTTCAGCAGCACACACATCCGATCCTTGAAAGTACGTAATTAAGTTTTTACAACGTGACATAATCAAATTTACAGAAAAGGCCATGGACTCCTACTGGCCGTAAGCTACTGAATGCGTTGCGCTTCAACACTTAAATGTATCACAATGACAGTAGGAATGCCATATAAGCTGATTACATCTCCCAATTGAACATTCTGTATATCTCTCTTTCTTACATAGTTCATGGACTGAAGGATCTGAAGATATTTGTGCCGGAAGCAGTCATCATGGGCAACGCAGCGACATTGTCTTGCCAATATGATTTGGAAAAGGTAAGTGAGACTTCTAGGGGGAACCTGATTGACAATTGCTATTATAGTGAGCACAGGCACAGCAGTCGCAACGACGATTGCCTGTTTAATTATTATAATTTGTCGCACATTGTCTTCGTACTTATAGTCCTCGCTCTGGCTCATGTTCTTGTCGCGTATATATTCTTCTTCAACTGTTAGTTGCTGCTATCCACTTTTCATTAATGTTGTTTCTTTTTTGCAGGCGGCGCTCTACTCAGTGCGCTGGTACTTCGGCCAGGAAGAGTTCTATCGCTATGTGCCACGCGAGGCGACGCCCACGTTTGTCTTTCCCGTTGCTGGCATTAATGTTGATGTAAGTGAAACTAAATATCCGATCCCGACAGGGAGCTAATCCACTATATAGGCGATAAGACAATACAGCAATTGTTATTCAATTTATTGCTGCTGCTGTTCGTATTTTATCCTCTTTTTTAGCAATTGTCAATTAAGCAAACGAATCAGACAAAATTTCTAGCTGTAGGAGCTGTGCATGTGTCTCGTTTGTTCTAGCAAAGCTTGCATTTTAACAAATGGAAATGCGAAAACATTCAAATGTTGTGTAAATATTTATATAAATGTGGACAATGGCGACTGGGCGCCAAATGCAGCCCGTGGCAACAACGATACCAATAACAACATCCAGCAGCCAAGCTGTCTCTTTTTTTTTTTTGATTTCCTCTCACTCGCTCTGTCTCACACACAGCCACTCTCTCTCTGCCTCTCCTATCTCTTTGTCTCTTTCTTTCTCCCTCTTTTGACCATACTAACTGGCAGTTATGCAGTTTTTATTTAAAATTTATTTTGCTGTGTCGCGCTTCTGTTTGTGCGTTTCAGTGTTTGCTTGTGTATATATATGTGTGTGTCCTGCACAATTTGAAAAGTGCGAATACAACTAACTGAAATATTGCGCAATGTGCAAAATAGTTTATGGTGCGAATAGAAGCAACTAAAGCAGTGCCACCTCGCGCTGAATACGTTTCGCATTCATGTTTGTATTTATACCCTGCAGCTTAAGCTCTGAAAAGGTATATTGATTCCTTATGCAATTTTCCGAAAAATACAATAGCTTATATGACATAAGCTTGAATTAATGTTTGTGTGAAGAAACATGTTTAACGTATGTATGTATGTATGTATAATTGTTAAATAGGGTAAGTCGTCATCGGTCATATCAGCAGAGCAGGAGTCTGCATCTGATGGCGGTGGCGCTGTGCTGCGCTCATTAATAAAAACAACAGCCGCAAAGTACGTAATAAATTCTTCGTCGAGTGCAAAGCGACAAAAAATTTCGGACAGCATTTAAAATGCTTCCAAAACAAAAAACAAAATTTTCTAAAGAACGCTTTTGTTCAGCTCAAGTTGAACAGGATGGAAGCTAAATTAAAAGAGAAATGCTTGACTTAGTTCGACCCGTTTAATTCCTCCTCTATAACCCAATTATTATATAGGCTTACAGTATTTATAGTAATTTTCTAGAAAATACATGCGCCAGAGCACCATCCGATATGTTGTGCTTGCTTGAAAAACAAGCCGATTGTCGTATCATAGTAAAAAAAAAATAAAATTTGTGAACAATAAATTTTGTATACGAAACCTTAATTTATATAAAATTTCCAAACTAATAAATTATCGAATTGAGAGAAGGGCGATAGATGAAGCATTGTTTGCTTTAGCTTACATATTCCATAACGAAACAAAACAAAATTTGCGTATAAAAAATAATTTGCATTCCAACCATCATATCCTATCTCTTACTGCTGTTTCCTCCCCTCCTCTCTATACATAAACACACACAAATTGATGTACATATATATAACTTATATAAATATTCCCGTCTGGCTTTGAGCACCAAAAAGGAGGAGGCAGGCCACATCAATCAGCTGTAGTGGCAATCGGACTTGATTAATTTGTCCTGATTGTGTCTTTAATTTGCACTCTATGTAGTAGCTGGGAGTGCAAAAAGGAGGCAAAGTAGAAAACTGTAAAAAAGAGGAGAAAGAAAAAGTTCGATGAGTACGAGCTCTCTTGTTGAAATGTTAATTTGCCACTAATTGGCATTCAAAAGCATTTTCGCACTAATTAAATATTTCGATTACAGTTGTCTATAACTAAAATCGAGGGCTCGGAATGTTGATTATTTTGCTCAATACTTTTTATAGCGTGGCTTATTTAGTCAGTGGATTGGAAACTATTCAAAAGCCCTCCTACATTGGCATTGGAATCAATTCACAAATTGTGTTGCCTACTCAGGGTGCCCACAGTACAAGTGGCATTAAGTACAAAACTAAATTTTATTCATGCAAATTCGCCCGTCTCTCTCTCTCTCTCTCTTTCTGTGTGTTAACACAAGCAAACTACTTGAGTGCAATGAGTTATGAACCGCAAAAGGCACCCAGATGCTTCAGCGATGGGTGGCGTGGCCATTGGTTAATGCAACTGATTTAGCAAACGGGCCTGCTTTGCAATTAAGTTTGAAGGCTATTCGCAGCTTTGCAGCAGCAGATGTCGGTCATAATGAAAGGCAGCTTTTGAGAGTAAGTTGAAAAACAAAAAATAAACACACAGCAGAGAAAGAAAATATTCCACATCCCAAGGCAACGAATCGAAATGAAGCGTCACGTTTTCTAATTTACATTGATAGCTGCTGCTGCGGCTGTCGCTGTGGCTCTGACTGATGCTGATGCTGAGGCCATTGCTGCTAACGAAGGCGAAATTCAAAGGCCATCTAGAGCCACAAATGCAAATTGAAATGGAATTTTTAAGTTATGCCAAGGCAAACACCAAACACACGCAAAACCCACATTTGCTGTGTGGGGTTACGAATGCTGTTGGCTAAGACAAGGCGAGATGAGTAGAGTAGAGAGCTACAGACGAAATGATGGCAAGTACCATAATTGAGATTAAAACATTATAGCTTGACTTGTTTTACTTTTCCTAAATCATTTCAAGCAGCTAAACACGCTTAATGAGAAAAGTTCAGGCCGCGCCTATTATGATTATGCACATGCATAAATATTAGTGAGTGTGTGCGATATGTGTGTGTATGTGTGTTGGCTTGTGAACCACATAAAAAGATGGGCGTACATTCAGACCCTCAGGACAGCACTTCAATTGCAGCTGCTTCAGCTACTGCAGCTGCAGCTGGGACTGACATGCCATACACTTGTGGGCGTGAGCGTGGCGGTGGGTGTTTCTTTGGATATGCATGCCACATGGCTAGCCGACCGACCGACCGGCCGCCCGACACACCGTTCGACCAAGTGCACTCCTGTCGTCCACTTGAGCGTTATTGGAATGTAAATGTATGCAGATCAGGAGCAGGGCATGGGGTTAGCTGCAAGGCACCCCCTCTGTGACGCGTCGCGAAACTTGAAAAGTCATTCAACATAGAAATATACCTTGCAATAGACCACCCGCATGCTCAGCCGCATACGTCACTCGTCACATGTCAGTCGCGATAAAAACAACAACGATGTTAGCAGCTCTGCGACTATACAAAAGGGGAAATAATAATCATCATGTTAAATGTAATTAAATTTTTAATTTAGAGACAGCGTCGGGCACGTTGACAATCTTCAATTAAAAGCCACAATTACCAGGGCCACCAGCTGAGCCCTGGTAAAGAAGGGGGGCCAGTTGCAGGAATAGGATATGCCAAGTGCTCAAAACTTTTGTGGCTTATTCATTGTCCGCAACAATAAAAAATCCAAACCGCGCCACCAACCGGCCTGTGCAAGAGCCTGGGCTTCGTCCTCGCTCTCTTCCTTGTCGTCGCGCATCGCTGGATGGTCGTCGGTCTGCCAAAAATGTGTGCCTGAAAAGTTTTTGCTCACTGTCAACACGGAAGGAATTATTCCGCATTAAGTTTGCGGTAATGGCAGCGGCAGTCACACACCGAGCAGCTCGCTACTGCACAGACATTGTTGTTATTGCTAGCGTTTGCTTTTAACATTGTTAATAACCCGACACGCCTCCGCCGCGCATTTATGCACAGCAATGTGCCCTTAAAATTAATGCACTCGCCAGTAGCCACTTGGCGCTTGGCGCTTGCCAACCAGAACACCCAGTCGGCAACAGAAGCGGCCAAAAACTTTGCGCCTGGCAGGACCAGACCAGACCCGACCCCCTGCTGCTTCAGGATCCCTTTGACTTGCTTCTGGCTCAGGCTACGTCTCCGTCCCGCCTCTGTCACTGTATCCTCATGGGCAGCCATACAGCTCTGGCTGTTGTTAATTAGATGCCCACCGAGTGGAGTGGCAACGGCCATTGTAGTTGTAGTTGGCCTTGTAAGTCGCGAAAGTTTAATTGAGCACTGCATGGGGTGTGATATATGTTTCTAATTATGATTTTTCATCATGCTAGAAAAAGCATCGTCAGAATTGCAAATTAATTGAAGATGGAAAATTTGAAAATGTTTTGTTAAAGGAAACTTGCAAAATGCATCTAGAATTATAAAAACTCTATTTACAAAATATAATCAGGAAAACATTAAATAAAATCTCAATCTCTTTGAAAAATTAAACTTTGGCTAAGTGCAAAGCAATTAAATATACAATTTTAATATGCTAAACACACAGAAAGCTTAAGCGCTTCACTAAAACTAACTGTTGAGCTCTTCCGAAACATTAAGTAACCTATATAAATATAAATAATAATTACGCAATTCAGGTAAAGCTATAAATCCATTTGATTCATTTAAATTTATTTTTTTTGGTTTGCGTATGAATTTTCATTACTGAGAGAGTCGCCATTCAGTAAACACAACCAAAATCATATGTGCAACTTTAGTTGCTAAAGTTTTCATTTGTTTTCAAACAAAATTCATATTGGAATTTCTGAATACTAATAAAATATATATTGTATAATACCTTATATTTGAAACTCTGTAATATTTTAAGATTTTGTTGCCATTTGACTAGCCAGTTGTTAGTGCTAAGTGCGCTTTATTAAATGAAGACTCTTAGCTAGCGAGCTATGATAAAAGATGCGAGTTGTATGGGACATTCTTTATGTTGCAGATAAATTTGTTGCAGTGACTGGTGGCCTTGGCCAAAATGTTTGACAAATGACCACAAATACACATAATAAATAAAAATGGCTATTGCGAAATGCAAAACGTACTCAAGACAAGCACAGACCGTGGCTATATTTATACGTGTTTGTATAGTTATATATGCTGGTAACTAGCTGGTGGGTCCATCCATGTGACATTGGCACCGCATTCACATGGCGTGCGCCTCCGTCCTCAACAATGAGCACAATAAAAAGCAATGCATTTTCCAAACACCAAAAATTGTTTACATCAGCGACTACAACAACAGCAACAAAATCAACAACAAATGGCAACAACAACCGCAACAAATAGAAGAAGAACAACCGCACCGGAAACATCTCATTCACTAAATTTGTGGTCGGTTTTGGCTGGCGCACTGCGTACTGCGCTCAGCGTGTTAGGCAGTCGAACTTCTGAAATGCCAACGGGCAACTGTAAGCACGAACGGGAAGAGGTTGGGAAATGAAGCGGGAGTGGGAGAGGTTGAATGGAAGCGGGAACGAGCCGCCAACGCTAGCGCCGTTAGTTTCCAACAAAGCTGGAGGCAACGGAAATTCGGAATGACATAATATGTGCCCATGTGTGTGTGTATGTATGTATGTGTGTGTGTGTGTGTGTGTGTGCAGAGTGTGTGGCTGGCTGACTACCGCGACTTGAGTTGATACAGCAATAATTCATAAAGTGTTGCATGCAAACCAGGCTGCAGCTGAGCCACACATACAAATTGTCTATGTATGGGTGTATGCATGTATATGAATATATGTGTGTGTGTGGGCATGCGACAGAGTTGGCAAAAATTAAAATTGCTTCACAACAAACAGCGGAAACTCAGCAAGGGGCCAACAAAAGCAATGAGAAGCGCGGCTGCAGCTGCAAAAGTGTGGCCCACACACACACAAGCTGAGGGCTAGATGGCCAGGAGGACATAGCAGCGGGGGCATTGCAATGCATTGTATTCTTACAACTCGACGTTGGCTGCTCAGCCGGCGAAGCGGTTTTGCAGTAAAGTTATTATTTCATAAAGCCAGAATTATTGAAACAATACTTTACTCTCACACTGGCTTACATACATACACACACGCACACATGCGCACACACTCCTGTGCATGTCATGTTAAATTGTGCTTTAGTAACATAATTTTTTATGCAACACAGTTGCAGCTGCGACAACTAAGGCAATATAAAATATAAATATAAATTAAAAGCCAACAAAAAATGAAGCTGGAAAAAAAGGTAACAACAAAACCTTTTTAACACGACAAAAGCAACTTCAGTTGAGTTGAGTTGAGTTTAGTTGCGCCGAGTCGAGTTGAGCTAAGTTGAGACTCAATTTTCTAGCCTACGGACAGGCGAACCAGCTGAAAATGTCGCAACATTTTCGTATGAGTAACTAAATGGTAAATGTGTGTGTGTGATTCGACTGGGTATATAATTCTTCAAAATAGCAGACATTTGTGTTTGTTGGCGCGCTTCCTGGCAGTGCCACTTCCGTTTCCGCCAGCCATGAAGCACAACAACAACAACAACAGCAACAAAGTCGCGTGCAATTAAATAAATATGATAACAACGCAAGGGAACCATCATTCCTGCTAACCGCAGAGAACAACAACGGGGATGACATCAACGAAAAACAGTTAAATAAATAAAAAGTAAAGATAGAAAGACAATATTTAAATATTTATTTTGCTCATATATAAATATATAAATATACATACATATATTTACATATATATATATATATATATATATATATATATATATATATATATATATATATATATATATTTGATAACATAATTAACATCATTTAATGCTTTGCGAGAGTCAAACAGTCGTAAACGTAGTAAATTGAAATAACTTATATATATATATATATATATATATGTATATATATATATATATAGTCGGAATGATAAGCCACAAACACTTTGTAATTCACATAGAGTAACTGAAATGAAAGGCAAGCATTTTTCATGGAGTTATATAATTGTTTCATGTTGTTTGCATTTTATACTATGCCAACAGATAACGCCATGAATAATGTATAATTATTCAAAGCGGCTAATCCTGTTCACGTTGAACATTGTAATCACTAGCCATGCAGCTGTGCAACAGGCATTCGTGACCCTCTGCAACTTCGACTGCAGCTATCCAACTGTGCAGATGAACTAAATTGTTGCACTCATAACTTGTATGCCCGGATGCCAACTGTGGCCATTACTAAGCTACATTCTGTGGCATATCGCACATTTATTCATAGCTCACACATAGTAGCGCGTAAGCCAGCAAATAGATATGCGTATGCGTGCACACATCTGTAATCCACAAACACACACACAAACACACTCAAACATGCGCCTCAAAAAGGAATACACATGCACTGAAACATATAGAAACCTTATCAATACGTTTCACATTTGTTTTCATTTTACGATTGCGTAACGAGATCAACGTCGACAAATCGAAAAGCCACTAAAACCGCAGACCACAAGGGAAAGCCCTGCAGCACCCATTAACCAGAACCTAGTGCCCAGTACCAAGAGCCGAGCGACAAGCACCGAGAGCCAGCAGCATTCAGCCAATTCCAATATGGCGAATAGAAGCCGCGAGCAACTAACCAGCAGAGCTCTTGGCTCGATGGCAATGGTGTCGTGTAGCAGTGGTCCTAGATTTTTCGATGACAATATATGAATGAACTAACGAAACGAATTGGGTTTGCCTGACTTCTTCACTTAGCTAAACGATATGAAAAATGAAATTTATTATTGAGAGTATATGGCTCGCTCTTTTTACAATTATTGAAAGTATTTGATTCACAGTATTTAGAAACTGAGTAAAAACACGAAATTTGGATATTTAAAAACTTATCATTTTCGGGATTAAATAAACAGAGGATGAATCCTTGATTGATGTTTTAAATATGTTTACAAAAAATAAATGTATATATATTAATATATATAAATAAATATATATATATATATATATATATATATATATATATATATGTAGGATCGGAGCATAGGCTTACAGCCAGCATACCTATTCTTACTATTTCCAATAGCTTCAGGGAATAAAGGAGACAACAAAAAAGGATAACAGCACGTGACCATATAGTAAAAGCGATGGCAATAGCAACGGAAACGACAACTAAATAAAAAGCTAGCAATGCGCTAAAGTGTTGAAACAATCGTAAAAAATTGTGGGCGCCCGGGGCAGCAGCACAATATCGAACTGAGTCAGGCTCCGGAGCTGGCAACTAAAAGTGCCAATAACAGCGCAGGCTGGCTACACAGAGGATTAGTATAGATGCAAATGAACAAAAAACATCGGCAGCATTGGGGGACATATGCAAAACCTGAAAGGGGTTTCTCCACTTACATGCAAGCTCCTCAAATCTGCAACATAGCGAACAACACACATGTTAATCGCGGCTGCTATTGCTGTTGCTGTTTGTTGCTCTGAAGTGGATTTTACACAGCAACCCAGCGCACATTGAGTTGAGCCAAATGGTCCCGTGGTTGCTGCCAATTATCAGTACAAATTAGCAATTTGCTAGCCATATTCCGAAAACCTAACGAATATTGTATATACTCTCTTACTATCGCTATTTCTCTCCCTCTATCTTTCTTTCTCCCACTTTCAATCTCTTAGTAGCTCTGACTAATTACAGATGCAATACGAATAGATGGGGCAAGTGTATTAATGCTTTCGTGGCTTTTAAACTTTTGAATTTATAATTGAATCCAATCAGTCAATTCACAAGAAATTTGATTGATTTGAGCTGGATCTGGGATAAAAGTTAACTATTTCACAAATTGATAGCAATTAAACTTCATTGACATTTAAATGCTCCAATCAAGTAGATTACACATTCTAAGCAGCAAGTTCAACTTTTGCTAACAAAGGACAAATCAATACGAGTTTTCGGTTTATTTTTGTATCAGTAAACCTGCAAGCAATTAGTCTAATAAACAAAATGGCCAACCCACATGGCGCCAATTACTGGCTTTTGAACGAAATTTTTCCCTTTAATCCAATTTTATCAAGAAATGCAAGCGTTATGCAAAAGTTGCAATTGAATATTTAAATATAATGGAGACTTTCGTTGCAGCTAACCAACTCGGATGCAACGTCGGTCACATTGAAAGGAGTCACACGGGATCTGACTGGAAGCTATCAGTGCGAGGTGTCGGAGGATGCACCCCTCTTTCATACGGAAATACGCACAGCGCATATGCAGGTAATTGAGCTGCCCAAAGACGATCCGGCGATGCAGGTGGACAAGAAGATGATTGGCGTCAATGACAACTTCAAAGCCGTGTGCACAGTGGGACCTTCTTACCCGCCGGCGAACATCACTTGGTACATCAACGGACGCAAGGTGGGTATCGGCTTATAAATTTCTTATCGCCAGGTGTTGATCAGTTCATGCTGTGTCGCAGGTATATAAAACGCCGCTGCAGCGCATAACGCAGGATGCATTCGAGGGCTCGACCACATACTCCTCTTTAGAAATCTATCCACATAGCCAGGTGCTGCAAGGCTTTTTCCAGGCGATGCCCAAGTACCAGACCAGCATACTGCTTCTCTGTGAAGTCTCCATACTGCATGTGTTCCACAAGAACGTTCAGCTACGCATTGGACTCAGCATGGCGCCACCGACGACCATTTCCCCAAATCTGCTGGGCCTTGAGGGCTCCAAGCGCTACGTCAATGGCGATCCGGACAATTCAGCACTAACTGGCGCTGCACAGTGCAGCTGCAGTGCTATTGGCGTGTTGACTCTTGCCGTGGCGACTATGTTTGCGGCTCAGCTGTGACCGGAACACAATGAAAATACCATATAAGCAAATGGTCGAACAGACACAATAATAGCAGCAGCAGAAACAACAACAGGCACAGGCTTTGAACAAGCGGGCCATGAAGTGTAATTAAAAAATAACAAATGCAAACAATGTACGCAAAAGTACTGCAAAATTATAAAAAAGCAAAAAAAAAAAATAAAAAAAAAACTGAAAAAATAGAAAGGAAATGTTTTCAAAACGTTAAAGGGCTCGCGTTGTGAACGCGGCGCTGCATGTCCTTGTGCATAACCCTTTTAGTTTCTGTTGTAAGTTTAAAAACGAACACCGTGCTCATGCGATTAAAATGAATATATTTCATGCTGCCGCAGCAGAAATATGATAATTATGATGATTATGACCAAGGTCCACTCATCTTAAAGTGACTATTGAAAATAATCAAATCTGAGCTAAAAACAAGAGATTACAAAATGCCCGCGGTTAATTACATACACATACATAACAAATCAGAGAACAGCTACGAAAATATGTTAAAAAATTAATAAAATACAAGAAAAAAAGAAATAAATATACTTGATGGCATGTTGTGGGCGTGCTGTGAGCAATTTGCAGAGAGATAAAACAAACATAAATATAAAAATCAATAAACTAAAATAAGCAAATCCATGAATTTGCAAAAAAACACACGTTTGCAAACTAATTTACATTTAAAATAACGAAGAAAAAACGTAACACAAAAACAATTAATAACATAAGTCAAAAATAATTTAACATTAAGTACACCCTACCCTCCAACAAACGCAGCCTAGATACGTAAGCTCTGTAAATATAATTTGTAAAAATTTAAAACCAACAAAAGCATTGGAAAGTAAAAAACATAAACAAGCTCAGCCCAACAACAATACACAGCTACATATTGGATTGACTGGGATGTTAAATAAAAAACTAATGTCAACAAATATTAATTAATGTTCGAATGGGAGCCTCATTATAACATAATAATAATAAAATAATAGCTATATGGCAATCCCAAAGCATAATGTGGATGTAAGTAAAGATATTTTAATTGAATTTTCGCATTGTGGTTAATTTGCGGGCTTTTTATGTTTTACATTATTTAATTGTTATTTTAATATTTTTGGCTTTTCGTGTTTGTTGTGAAGTGTTTTTGTTAGCTGCAGAAGATGAAGTCTAGTTTACGCTACACTTAAATATATTTATATAAAACTTGATTAGAATAATTATAAAACTAAACAAAATATAGTAATTTAAATGTTAGTCGAGTAAAAATGAAAAGCAGATTAAAGTAAGAGTTAAAACAGAGCGAAATCTATAAATATGATAAACTACAGAGGTTTATGCGCGTAGTCAAATCCAAAGATTCTAGCTATAAAAAAGAGAATTTATGCATTACATGGAAATTCCTTAAAGTTCAGTGACTACTCTTCTAAGTAGCTTCGAACTTTACCACGCGTAAGGCGCCTCTAAAACTAAGCAGACTATTTAATTTAATTTAATATTTAAACAACGGAATCAAAGGCAAGCACAGCTGTGTGGGCTTAAACAGGAAAATCAAATGTCAACCAAAAACGTTGAAAAAGAAAAATAATAATAAAATGTAAAATCAAACTAAATTACAGGAAAGAAAACAAACAAACATTAAAAGGTAAATTTAAATGAAATAAGAAATGGAAACATTAACAATGGCAAAACAGAAGTAAATATTAAAGAAAAATGTATAACTATAACTTTATGTGTGGTAAGAATAAAAATAAAATAAAAGTTTGAAACAAAATCAAAGCACGCCATAGAAGACAAAAACCAAAACAAAAACGCCAATGCGTAAAGAACTTAGCTCAAAATTAAAAATAATAATGTCAAAATTATATAATGAAATAAAGAAATTAAATAAAAACATTCAAATGATTTTCATTAAACTTAGCAAATCATGAACTTTACAAGTAATTGTTATATGGGTAAGTGTATTATCGATAGGTAAATATAATATTATAATGATTAGAATACAATACAAATAGAAATAAATTGTTAACAAAATATATCAGGTGATTCACTATATAATATGTATAATGGAAACTCGTAGTACAGATCAAATTAAGTTCTCAGAGAAGCATTTCTACTCCACACTCCACAAGTACAATACATAAGACGATTGCTACAAATTCAAATTCACTTAATTTGCTCAATTGGCACATAATTAATTCTTGTTGTGCTTCAAGTGTCGGGGTAATTATGCCACAAGTTCAGTTCTGGGCGTAAAAGCATTTATGCATCTTATTCCATAATTTGGGCTACGACCCAAATGCAAACACACACACCCACACGCACGACATATACTCGCACATACGTAGCATTGCAAAAGGTGGAGATAGCCTTGTTGTCGTTGCCAACATTTGCATTTAAGTAAGTGTAGTAGCATCTTCGTAACGCAAGTGGCGAGTGCTCGGCAAACAAGCAGAAGATAGCCTTAACACAAATCAGCCCAAGCTGTTGTTAGGTATTGCATATGCTGGCGTGGCTAGGAGTCGGGCATGGCAACAACATCCAGCATGTTTTGTAAATTAAGCAAACAAATTAAGTGCACTTGGCTCACGGGTCTCACATGCGGCGCTCTCTGTTGTGCTCCTTGTAAACACATTGTGATTGTAGCAAAGCCGTATATCAAAACACTCGCGCGCCGAAGTAGGGCGCTGAGTCGCCCTTGAGCAGCACTGCCACCCGCAGGGACCAAGGACACTGGCAAAGGTCCCAAAGCCCCGCCCAAACCAGACCAGACCACACGCACACGTTAGGGTTAGTTTGTCTTAATTAGCTGCTGCTGCTGCTGCTGCTCCAGATGCAGCAGACACTAAAGCCGTACAAAGTGCAACCCAAGTATGCACGCGCATCTGTTATAGACACTGCTGCTGCACCAACAGCAAACAACAACAGCCTAGCCCCTATCGCTTACCTGCCCATAATATTTACGAGCCATTGGTTACAAGACGCAGCCACTTTACCAATTTCCCATCTCTTTCATCTCCCATTTCCCACCCCTAGCTCCCAGCTCATAATTGTGCAGTCATTCTCATCGTGCTACTTAAAGTTCATCTAGCACGCATATTGCTGCGCAACCGACATACACACACTTGGCGTATGCGTAACGCAAAATGAAAAGACAAAATGTTGGCGCCTGCTGGAGCTATACAAAGGGATTAAAGAACAAGTGCCACAAGAATGCCTCCCAAAGTTAAGCTCTAAGCGACACGCTGCGAATTCTGTAAAAAACTTTTCTGACACAGCGAAAATTTGAATCTAGGGTCGCTCCTGGCAACCGAGCAGCTTTTCAGATACACAATATCCCTTTTAAAGAGTGCTTTAAGAAAAAAGAAAATATTATTTCGGCAACTCAATTACCTTTCATCAGTTACAGAATTGGGCCATTTTATTTGGCTTTTCAATACACTTTTGAGATCAGATATATATGACAAAATATCAAATATGTATATTCTATTTGATTTCTTGGAAAAACTAAAGTGGTGTACGATTTATAGCTACTTATTTGCTGTTCACTCTCATTATTTATTATGTTATATATAAGATATCTGATTGTATTTTAAATATGCTTATTATTCTAGAGATAAGCACGATTTACTTACTACCTTACAGCACTATTTATGTAATAATAAGAGTTTTTCAATTGTTACTATCTTAGCTATGCATATTTATATATACATTATTGTAAATTAATCAAATAGTCAAAATTTCGATGAACTAATCAAGTGCTATTTATACATGTTACAAATATAAATTAATTAATTATTCAGTTTAGTTCCACGACAACAGTTTTAGTAAATGCCGAGATTGACACAATAATACAAGTATTATATTTATATTCATATATATTTGATGACGTCGGAAATGTAACATGCACCATAACACCCTGAATTGCGATTTTCAACTGTGAAAGACAAACCTCACCAATTATATAATACATATTCGCGGTCCCAAAGCAGTTAGGCCAAGCTTATTTTCGATGAATTACACCCTTTGGGAATAGGACTAAGTGGATGTATGGACGGATGTCATTCTCTAGAAGTTTATTAATTATCTTAATACTAATATTTATTATTAACATTATTATTATTATTAAAGGCATATCTTCTATCCACACTCCAGAGATACGTATTCTAAATTATGAAGCACATATGCTCCATTTATTAGGATCTGCAAAAGTAAGCCTTTCTATATGTTTTTGTTGAATTTTGTTATTATTGATGACCATGGGTGGGTGGAATGCAGAATGGGGATATAAGTTTGCATTAGTGTATATCAGGACAAGCCCGAGAGTTGGGCTTATAATTAAATGCGTATCGGGCAACAAATAATGCAAATGCGTGCGGAGCTATTCAAGCTTTAGCAAAATGAGTTGCATATTTTGGAGCATTTTGATCGGGGCTCGGAACGTTTATATTTGTTTTACGGCTCTGAATGGGGCGTGGCTTTGCTGAATGATTTGGTTTATGGTCGTATGGTATGCATGCATTTAACAACAGTGGCAGCAACAACAGTCAGAGAAACGGAAGATTTTGGCTGGAGCCAAGCGAACCCAAAAACATTGTTAAAATGCAGCAAAATTTGTAGATTTATAGCTCGCTAATCGCGGCCAACCAGCAACGGAGTGGAGGCGTGGCATTTTAGATGGGCGTCTATCGCAATGTTGGTGCTACGAATTGTATATTGTAATGTAAATTGAAATGCAAATGCCTGGCCTGACATTTACGAGTACAGCAGCCAGTGACAGCATACACAACAGAGCTAACAGCAGCAGCAGCGCTAGCAACTGCCACTACAACAACAACAACAACAGCAAGGGGCAAACTCTGCCAAAAAGTCACCAATAAAATGTTGCAACTAAATGCGGCGCCATTGTCATAGTCGTAACTTGGCAGGCGGCAGTCAGGCTTTTGGCCAACATATTTTCAATTTGTAAATGCAAAACAAGACGCTGGCCACGCCCACAACAGCCAAGACAGCCTATAAATTTTGAAACTACTTCGACTGCGGGTTGCAAGCTAAGCGCAATTAGTAAACGAAACCGTTTCAAAATATTCGTCCAAATGAATCCAGCACAGCCTCAGCTTCGGCTGGGCCACAGCTCACATTTCTTTTGGAGCCCATAAGCGTTTAACAACTTTAGCCAAATCAGCTGAAGACCATTCTTTATGGCAGCCAACCGACACCTTGGACATGCTACTGACGAATACGTGATGAATGCAGCTCCCAGCGACGGCGATGACAGTGCATCATAAATTCAGCAAGCGATGCTAACCAATATAAGGTAGTGGAATGGGGCTATTCTCATCTTGCTGCTACGTGAAATCGGTTAGCTTTCGATTTGCTGTCATAGATCGGCCAACGCTTTATGACAATACACACATTCATCTATCACGAGTTTCAAACCTAATAAATTCGTTGAAATTTCGTTGAACGGTTTATTACTACAACTATGTCAGATTATGGCTTCGTTAAGGGTTTATAAAACACAAACAAAGCTGACAATTGAAGTTAGCTTAAAGATTTTGAGTAAAGAAAATGTCGACGCGTTCGAGCTTGCATTGGCTTCATAATCAGATTGCTCCACTAGATGCTCAGTTGCTTGCTCT